AGGGGGTAAACGTGAGACCCTAGGGTCATAAACCTTAAGACCCTTCCATCTATGAAGAGTATTGGATTCTAACATATCTGGGTCTTGAGAAGAAGATTTTTGAAATTTCAGTCAATTCGACCCTTTTTGGCCCCACCCATCAGCCCCTGGGGGTCAGTCAGGACTGATATGTGCATACCATCAAACTGCTATCCAATACTGATAATGCTAACCCAAATTGAATTACTTCCAATGGAAATTGAACAAATGTTGGTCCAAAATGTGATTTCCCTATATAAACTATAGTAAAGTTTACCCCCTCCCCAGGGGGAAACGCGAGACTCCAAGTTCAAGAAATTCACAATTTTGGTAAAGCACCTTAAGACCCTTCCATCTATGAAGAGTATTTGATTCTACCATATCTGGGTCTTGAGGAGAAGATTTTTGAAATTTTAGTCAATTTGGCCTCTGGGGGCTGGGGACCATTTTTTGTTGACCTTTGGCCATGGATTTCTGTAAAATTTCATTGAAATTGGTTCAGGGGTTTTGGAGAAGAAGGCGAAAATGTAAATTGTTTACAGATGCACGACAGGCGATCGCAATAGGTCACTTGAGACTTTGTCTCAGGTGACCTAATAAAAAGGTGTTACATACCCCCCACCCCCCACCCCCCCAACTGTGTGCTCAGAAATAGTAAGGGTTTTCCTGAGCCACATGTGGTCACCACCATGATACATTTATCAAATTCAGGAAATATGATAACATAATAAATTATTCATTAAACACCATGTTTGTTAATTAAAATAACAATTCCAACGGTATGAATATGAGAAATACAAAATCCCATACAAGTATATGAACTCAAAGCAAAAGTATCACAAACAGCACATGTAATACATTTGTATTATGTATAGACACAACAGCTGGTACATGTATTGTAGAGATCAAAATTTTGTTGATACATTATGTATTATGAAAAGTAATTTATTTACTTTTTTGATGAAACCCTAGTGAGCTAATATAGGCTTGGGTTGACATCTGGTGTTAATATAACCAGGTTATGAAATATCAGTATAGATATCGTCCTGCATTTATTTCTGGCAATCCTAAATGAAAATCATACATCGCTCCTTTAAGATATATATATATATGTAAATACATGAAATACTGATAAATAGCATTTGGGTAGCTGTGGGAACCGTAGCTTCTATGTCCGATTAACAATAATAATAAAAAAAATTAAAAAAAATCGGACATAGAAGCTACGGTTCCCGCAGCTAGCATTTGGGGAGATAAATAGATATTTGTAATGATTCCTGCCTGATCCAATGTTTTCATAAAATACAAGAGATCCCAGAGGAATATTGGCAACTGCTGGCAGACATCTTGTTCTTCAGATTAGTTTCAATATCAAACATGCACAACAAAGGACAAGGGGAACTCACTAGGGATATTTGAGAAAGATGTGTCAAGCACACTTGAGAAATAGCCATAAAAAACTTCAACTGTCAAAATTAAAGATGGCTAAATGGTGGCCATCTTATTTTTCAAATCAGTCTCAAAATCAAACATACAAATAAATCCTGGACTGCTGGAAACTTACATAACAAACTTGTTCTGTAAAGCTCAACCTTGAGATATAGTAATATCAAACGTGAACATTCAAAATTAAAGACGGCTTCCTGGCAGCCATTTTTCATTTTCCCATTCATCTCAAAATGAATCATGTGAAACTTACAGACCAAGGGAGAATCTACAAGTAAGAAATTTGAGACAAGTTTTTCAAGTACTTCTTGAGAAATAACCTGATTATAAAAAATGTTTAGGGATACAGACTACAGACTGACAACATGAATGATCTTAAACTAAAAACAGGAAACAACTTGATATTCCTTATATAACAATATAAACAGGAAACAACTTGATATTCCTTATATAACAATATAAACCTGGATTTTTTTATATTTATTCCTTTTTCAATTTACACCAAGGGATTTTGATTAAATGAAACATTAGTAAATGCCTACATATTGTCAATAATTAAACATCTAGGTCAATGGAGCATCTTCTAAACAATAGGTCAATTGGCATGTGTTGGTCACTTTAAACAATAGGCCAATTGACATGTGTTGGTCACTTAAAACAATAGGCCAATTGGCATGTGTTGGTCACTTAAAACAATAGGCCAATTGGCATGTGGTGGTCACTTAAAACAATAGGCCAATTGGCATGTGTTGGTCACTTTAATGTATGGAGGGTGGTCGGGTGGTTGAGTGGATAGCGCACTTGCCTTTCACCAAGGCGGCCGGGGTTCCATTCCCCGATTGGACGTGAAAAGGTTGGGGTCACCTGCCCGACCATGTGTGTTTTCTCTGGGTATTCTGGTTTCCCCACACACTAACATCCGGGCCAACAAGAGTGACTAATATAAGTTGAAATAACTTGTTTCATAATTGTTGTAAAAGTTTATATTTATATAATGTATGGTCAATTTGACTGGAACTCTCCTATCTTGAAGTTAATAAATAACTAAAGCTTGACTTATCATGGTCTTGTGTCGTCTGCATTTTATATAGTCACCAGCTTATTAAATGATGTTAGAAAACACATATCACAACTGGTAAAAAATATTTCACAACCTTTATGTTTTATTCAGAAGGAGTAATTGAAAGATTTTAAAGCATTGAAACAAACTTGCAACAGATAACACTCTATTTCACCTTATTATTAGGTGGTTAGGTGATCTGTCCTTTACAAATATAAAGTTATCGTATAGCGACCTTAAGGTGAAGGGTTTCTTCATTCAGAATATCTATCTACCATTGAAATAGACACATGATTAGAATGCACAGGTATAGTATTGAATTGTATTTGGTGAAATAACTAAAGATCTCTTTACTTTATATACATTTGACATGTATCGATCTGTAGTGTCTGATATGTTTGCATGTGCAATGTACAGTTACAACATTAATATTCTTGCTCAAAGAATGATGAGCTTTAAACCACGACGGCCAAACAAAGGACTCCAGTAGGGTAGACAGCTACATAGCTACACAAATCCTATATTTTTAAAAACATGATATATTGACCACAATGATTAATCCCAGTGACTTTAACAATGCTTGTTAAAACCGGCATATATACTTTAAAGGCAGGCACCAAACTCTATGGGAGGTATAAGGGTTACCAGAGGCACCACACTCTATGGGAGGTATAGGGTTACCAGAGGCACCACACTCTATGGTAGGTATAGGGTTACCAGAGGCACCACACTCTATGGGAGGTAGGGTTACCAGAGGCACCACACTCTATGGGAGGTATAGGGTTACCAGAGGCACCACACTCTATGGGAGGTATAGGGTTACAAGAGGCACCACACTCTATGAAAGGTATAGGGTTACCAGAGGCACCACACTCTATGGGAGGTATAGGGTTACCAGAGGCACCACACTCTATGGAAGGTATAGGGTTACCAGAGGCACCACACTCTATGGGAGGTATATACAGCAAGTCTTGATTGCAATCCTTTACAGTCTGTCTGAAAGAGTTAAGGTGCTTCCACTAATTATACATAAATAATTCAAAGCAATCTGCATTGTATACATGTTATTTTTGTTAGTGCACCTTCTACTTCGTATCTTACACTACACTGCTGCAGCCACGCCCCAACTTAAACTATCAATACCTGCTGTACCCAGCTGATGTCCTTACTATAAGACATAAAGCAGATTGTATAAAAGGTGTTCTATAACATTCCTTTTCAAACATATTGATTCTCATTCATGATCAGCTTCAGGAATGTTAAGATTGAAACCATTTTTTGGCTTTGTTCCACTCTGAACATACAACGTTATTTTTTTTAATTAAGATTTAATTATAAAATTCATGAAAAAATATCCTTTTCCATAGTAAATTTCATGAATAATTAAGACAGGATCATGTAAGTGAAGGCAAACATTTAAACACTGTAAGATTTGTTTTCAATACAATGCACTTAGAATCTTATATATATAGATATATATCACGACATTGTATGTAAATACAGGTGTTATATTAGTGAAACATACCCAAGGTAAAGAAAAGGAAAAAGCAAAAAGGAAATAAAATTATTGCAGTGAAAAAAACAGTTTACTCAGCTTTCATGTTGTCTCCAATATAAACTGGACAAAACACACACCACTAGACATTTTCCGATGACAGTAAGGGGTGCATGTGTTATTTAATTAGGGGGTCACTGACCAAACCAAAATCCTACCCATCCACAGCCTCTTACAGAGGTTTAAGTGGGTTTAACCAGGGGAGATAACACACAATGTATTTTTGTATTCAACGGTAGGAGTACAGCCTTAACCTTTCCTGGGACTGGGTACTTAAGTTTACCAGGGGAGACAATCTTCAATATTTTCTATATTAACCAAGACAAATATAACCTTCTCCTTTATCATGGATCAGAGAAAGACGCTAAATAAGGGAGACAATCATCAAAGATTTTTGTATTAAAACTGAAAGAGTCTCAGCTACTCCCAAAGGGGTGGGGGTAGGGGGAGTCAGTGGGTAACCCAGTTACCCTTAATGTTCTCTGTACTCAAACCAAGCCATAGTTTCTCGAGAATTCGAAGGTCATTGAATTACTCAGGAGAGACAACCCACAATGTTGTCTGTACTCACTATAACAGGAGTGTTTATCTTCAGCTTCTCCTAATTAACAGGCAGAGAAACCCTTAATATCTGTATTCAACCAAGTATAAGTCTCTCCTGAAGAGAAAGATGATGATGGAGTTTACCAGGGGAGACAACCTTAAATTAACCAGGAGAGACAACCCTCAATGATGTCTGTACTCACTGTAACAGGAGTGTTTATCTCCAGCTTCTCCTAATTAAGTGGAAGAGAAACCCTTAATATCTGTATTCAACCAAGTATAAGTCTCTCCTGAAGAGAAAGATGATGATGGAGTTTACCAGGGGAGACAACCTTAAATTAACCAGGAGAGACAACCCTCAATGATGTCTGTACTCACCAGGAGGAGTATAGCCTCAGCCTCCCCTAGGGTGCAGGGCGAATGTGTCCATCGAAGCATCCAATGGGGGCACCAATAGAACACGAGACGCAGGAACCCGCCAGTTACCACACAGGCCAGGTAGGTAAAGGCTCGTTTCCATTTGTTTAGTTTGTATCCCTCTATGGCCTGCAAGAACAAAAGATACAAGTGTATATATACTTCAATTAGCAGCTCTGAAAATTAACTTCCAAATACACAACATGATCAATATATTACCATGACTGTGTTTTGTTATGTTACAGTGAATATATGCATTGAAAATGTTCTCTTTGAGAATTTGTATTTTCTCTCCCATAATAAAACAAGAGGCCCAATGGGCCTGCATCGCTCACCTGGTATAAAACTCACACTTGTAACCTTAAAAGTGATCTAAAATAAAGCTACAGGCAAAATATCAGTATTTATGATTTAAATTCATTCAAAAGACCCTGTTATTCTTTTTTAAAACATTTCACCCCTGTGATTGAAAGTCGAACAAAGTCATTATGTTGAACACATTGTATAGCCTTTCATCTTAGGATGCAACTTGCAAAGTATAAACATCCTGGGACCCATGGTTATTCAGAAGAGGTTGTTTAAAGATTTTAAACAAATTTGACCCCTGTGACCTTGAATATAAGTCAAAGTCATTCACTTTAACAAACATAGTAGTCCTTGATCCCAGCATATGCTACTAACTAAATATCAACATCCTGAGCCTTTTGG